ATCAGATGAAGGTGGCCTATATATTAAAATTAGACATTAGGTGCATAATGATGTTAATCAAAACGTCATAGCATAAAGAGGGGGAATTAATAGGTAATAAACGACTTTTTTCTGGAAAGTTAAAAGCTCTTGCGTTTCTTAATCTCAGGTTAAACAGAGAGAGTGAATTGAAGATAACTTTAACTTAATCACTCAAAATTGAAAACATCAGATGTTTTTTTCCTAGTGAGCCCATGTTTTGTTGTTAAACAAACAGTATAAAATGAATATTTGTTTACCAAAAAAATAGTATGTATGGGCAGTTTGGTCAAAACTGTCAAAATTAAATTTTTTTTATCAAAAAAACAGTATGCAGGGGCATCTTGAACAAAAACTCTTAAAATCGCTATTTTTTTATCTAAAAAACACAACATGATGCGCCTTTCTCTGATGGATATTTATTTATTTATCTATCGGGTTACACTTATAGTAGGTTGGTTCTTGTAAATTAATAAACTTATGCTTTAAATATAATTTTTAACATACCATAACAATAACTTGAGGATCCACCTGTCAAAAAGATAACAAATATCAGTTTAATATTGTAAAGAATGCATCATCAATTGACAAGAAACTCCCGTATAAGGATCTATAAAGCAATATAAGAGCACAAACATTTAAAAAAATAATGAACCATATACAAACAAAAGAAAATTGACAAAAAATGGTTAACATATAACTTAACCTTCTCTCTATTGTATATTTCCTCTTAGTGTCTTGTATCATTTCTAAGATGGTTATCCTTCTGTAAATGTGATTTGTAAGAACTTGTTGGATCGTATATGTAATAGAGAATAGTATAAGAGAGTTGCTGAGAAGTATATAGGAACTGTAACATTTATTGGCTCCCACTAATCATCCAACAATATGCAAAGATCCAATAGAATAAGTTATAAACACATTAAAAACATGAACTACTTTATTATTATCATAAAAATAGGCAAACTCTATGCAACTTAATGCCTAAAAGACCAAAAAAACATGAAATATTCCAAAAGCACATGTAAAAATCATTTCTAAATTAGTCAAAGTACATAAAATATTTGATCAAGAATCCTCTAAAACACATAGCGGATTGATATTTAGAGATACAGAGGGTTGAATTAAGGTATGAATTTCATCATTTTCTTCATGTAATCCCATAAATTCTAAACCCTTACTTCCAGAATTCACAGTCGTAACTGAAATACTGAAATCACATCAACATTTATTTACATAGAGTCTCGAATTCATAACCATTTTCAATCGTTTCGAATTGTTTGGATGAAATTATAAAAAACAAATCTCACAAAATTGCACTTCACTTTTTACCCCCTTTGAGCCCTTATCAGACCCCACTTATATAGTTGTATCTGATCAAATGGTAGGTTATCATCAAAGCTTTTTACTTTCCATCTCGTAAGACACACAAGCAATCAAAAAGTGATGTTACATTCAACCTTTTCAACCATCTTATAATCATCACCACCATGATCACATCATCAAGGGGTTTAAAGGGGTATCCAAATGGTACCATATGGTAACATAAGGCTCTAAAAGTTTTTTTAGAATTGAATTAGAATAATGAAGAACCAAGAATAAAAAAACAACTAAGAAAATGGAATAGTTGTCAACGGTGTACCTAGGTGGAGTTGGTGAAGAGCGTTTTTAAAGAGTGTGATGTTGAGTGACAATAAAAGCAATTGAAGTATTAACAAAACATGTATAGTAAATGAAGGTGGAGAAAAATCATCAAATCGCCCAAATACTTTATGTTTTGGGTTTTTTATGGTTCAATTATATTGTCACCAAAGCTTAAGATCGAAATCAAAGAATGATGTCGGGGATGCTTTTTTATCTCAATCAAACTCAAATAATCAAAAGATTATATTTTATACATATGTGGAATAATCTACAATAGAAACTAGCCTGATTAGAGGGGTAGGACACCAATGAAGATGATATCTTTCCACTACAACAAATTAACAACTTATATTACGAGTATAAGTCTCGGAGAGATTGTCGATTTTTTGATTGTAGGAAAACAACAAACGGAAATCGTATCCAAAGCTAAAGAAGCAGGATATCGATAAGCAAAAAACAAACTTAAAGCACTCAATTGAAGCAAAAGTCAAAGGGAAATTGGGAAAACACAGTTGAGATGGAATTTCGAAACCAAAGGGGCATGCAATCGAAAATCGGCCTCCTCCCTTGTAATCACTCTAGAGAAATTAGAATCAAACGATATATTCTCTATTTCCATAGTGCTCTTGCTACCTCTAGCCAGACAGCAACCCTAAACGAATAGAATGGAACATCTGAATCGAAGAAGCAATATCGAAATCGAAGAAGCAGGTGTCTTCTACGTTGGTTGAACATCGGTGAATCGGATGCAGTTGGGTTGATGGAGATGGTGAGAAAAAAACCAAATACATGAGATAAGGGAGATAAGGTGGTGCACAAGAATCGAGAAGCATCTAAGAGACGAAAAGTCAGAGGCGGTAGATTGGAACCAGAAAAAATTAATTAAAAAAGAGTAACCAATATGAAGCAATCATTGTTCATAAAGGGCTTCTCTTTTCATTTTATATATATATATATATATATAGGGAAAGGATCAAATGAGAACACCTAAAAGGTTGAGAACGCGAGAACAGTAATTGTATATTTAAATTAGATTAAAATAAAATAAAATCAATCAAATTCCCTTAAATGAGAACAGTTCTAGACCAATCAATATATAAAGGCATATTAGTAATTGTATATATAGGAAAATGATCAAATGAGAACAGTTCTAGACCAATCAATATATAAGGGCATATTAGTAATTGTATATTTAAATTAAATTAAAATAAAATAAAATCAATCAAATTCCCTTAAATTTAGGATCAGTTACCAAAATAGAAGGAAATATTTGATTTTTTATTTTTCTTATTAATGAAATATAAAAAAACATTTTTATCAAAAAAAAAATTAAAACTAAAAAATTTAATTTTTTTTCTTAAAAAATATTTTTTTTCTCCAATTTCACGTCTATTTTTAAACAATCAGATTGTTAAAAAAATGTTTTTACCATGATTAAAAAATGTTTTTTATTTTTTATTTTTTACCAATATATCAAAAAGATTAATCATTTCAACCGAATATTTGTAATCATACAAAAATAAAAACATATTTGTAGTCATATATGAATCTGTTGTAATCGTGAATGAATAGATGAATTAAATTATAATAATAAACGAATATAACACAAATTATAGAGAAAAACTACAATACAACTATAATCATAAATAAATAAAAATATTGGATATTGATATCTAGATTACACATCTATTCATAAATAATAACACAACAAGTTACAATGTAATACATATCTATTTTTCTATAATCACATTTGAATACAACATAAACAAAAATTATAATAAAAATAATTAATTATTCATAAATGAATATATATCATTAATCACAAATGAATACAAATCCAATCATAATGAATAACACTCTAATCATAAATAAATACCATAGCTGCCGATCCTATGAGGCACATGACAAAACCCATTGCTAACTTAGAGAGTGTCACAAATAAGATCAGAAGAATCAGAAGAATAACTCAACCAGTCAGCAAAAAAAAGCCTCAAGTCAAATTTAACCCTGGGGAAATCAAAAGAGGCAGCAGCCTCTTGGCTTTTCCCCCTCACCTCGAACGCTTGTAGAGGAAAGGATGACAGAATGTGACGCGAGCCAGAGGAGCACCACGGTCGGGATCGTGGATGATTTCGGTGATTACACCCTTGAGGTAACCATTGTGTTCTCCAAAGTCGAGGCTGCGGAACCTAGCAGGCCCCTTCCGGTGGTGGGTATGGGGCTTAAAGAACGACCCTGCTCCCTTACGTTGTGCCGTAATCACAGGCCTGATTTCTGGTTCTCTCTTACCTCTCTGTCTCTCTCTCTCGCACACACTCGGTGGCTAGGATTTGGGGACGACGGCAGGTTCTGGGGAGTGAAGATCCTGATATAGGGTTTGGCAATCGACAGTAAGTAGTAATATGGGCCGAGCTCTGTTGTATGGATAATTTAGATGGCTGTACAGGCATCAAGAATCCGTAGACTAATCTTCAAGAGTCAAATTTCAAACAAAATTGAACGATGATAAATTCGCAGCAACAAACCAGTATAACCGGTGGTCCTTTTTCGCCCTCCTCTTTGCGATCAATCTGCCACCACCGATCCCCCTTCTTTCCCATTCTTCTTCTTCATTCGTTGCCAAGAATAACCACCGTGAGGTTCTGATTTAGATGGAGCGATTGAGACCAATGTACAGGCGAGGGAGGCGTGCCCTAGGTATAGAGAGAAAGATGAAGTCGAAAATAGTGGAGTGAATGATAAAGTCACAGGTTTATAGAGAGAATGAGAGATTTTAGGAGTTGTTTAAAATAAGGGAATGATTAATTACCATGATACCCTTTTCTTATTTTTAATTCAAATTAATTGAATTTAAACATTTTAATAATAACAAAATTTCTAATTAATTATAGCCTTAGATCTAAGATAATAGATGGATGAGATCTGTTCTCGCGTTCTCAACCTTTTAGGTGTTCTCATTTGATCCTACTCCTATATATATATATATATATATATATATATATATATATATATATATATATATATATATATATATGGGAGCGTTCAATCGAGAATATTTTTATTGCGAGAACATTTGAGAACAAACATTACACTTTAATTTTACAAGGTGGCATAATTGTAGATAACTTAACAATTGGTTACAAACATATGACATTTAAAAAATAACGGGGGTATGATTGTAAAAAGGAATAGAAACTGAATTTTGCATACATACATCCTCGGAATCCTCGATTTACGAAAACGAAAACTCTCATTTCTTTCAACCGAACCCTCATTTTTCTCTAACATTTCATCAATTTTCAACGAAAACGAAGAAAATATCGTCAAAAACAGAGAAAATGCCATCAAAAGCTTCATTGAAAGGTATTAAAACGCATATTCGAAGTTTTTTTGCTGAATATCACTCGATTTACATGAGTATCAAGTTTTTTTTTTGCTGAATATCACTCCGTTCTCATGATTATCGAATTTTTCTACTGTTCGTTTCATTAATATACAGGAAATCAACATTATTCATAAGTTTTTTTGAAATCAAACCCTAGTTTTTGATGTCGAACAATTTACTGAATGTTTTCTGTTTAATAACACCTAATTTTACGAGTATATCGAGTTTTTCAACTCCTGCTTTGTTCAATATACAAAAAATCTGCATTTATTCAAAAGTTATTTCGAACTATAACCTTAGTTACGAGTATATCGAGTTTTTCTATAATTGCTTTGTTCAATATACGTGAAATATGTTTTAATAACACTCGATTTTACAACTATATCAAGTTTTTCTACTATTTATTAGATCAATATACACGAAATCTTCATTTATTCGAAAGTTTTTGTGTACTAAAACACTAGTTTTTCTGTTTAATAACACTCGATTTTATGATTATCAACTATTATTTTATCGATTTAGTATTATGTTATTCATGTATTAAGTAAATAAAGTATGCTTGAACTTGCATAATTTACCAAAACGTTTGAAATAAAATATTCGAGAAAGAAGAAAGATCATAAAACTATGAATGAAGGTAATAAATCATCTGTGTTCTATGACTGTGTTCAATCATATATGATTTGATGATGTTATAATCTACAAAAGGATTTACAGAAACTAAATCATATATGATTTACATATGTTATAATTACATGTGATTTGATGATAAGTTCTTATATTTGATTTGTTGATGTTATAATTTTCAAAAGGATTTCCAGAAATTGAATCACATATGAATTACATAGATTGTAATCACATGTGAGTAGAATAATAAATGTGATTTTTCCATAATATCTATTTTACTAACATCTGATAAAAATTAGTGTTATTATTTGATTAAAATCACATATGATTATTGTTTGTATTTATGCATATCAGACGGAAATAAAGAAAAGAATACAGAGACAACAACTAATCCAAAAGGATTCACCAAAAAAACAGCAAAAAGGGGAAACGTAGAAGTGCCAAAAGAGAAACAAACAAGAAAATCAACAAAAAGACTGTTGAAAAAAATATATTTCAATCACAAATGATTATAAATATTAATATATATCAATACTCCAAAATGATTCACCAAACACATATGATACTCAATTATGATTGGATTTCCGTGTGTGAATTATAGATGCGAATCACATGCGATTAAACAATATTTTAGGATTTTTATACATATAAACATATGTTAATCACATGTGATTAACATATGATTATATACATAAACATCCTATACAATTTTATTATATAGAAAAAGAGATTCAATCACATGTGATTAAAATCTGTTATGAACACCATATTCTTTTGTTTTAATCAAATATTATTTTCTAATTATGTATGAATTTATATATTTTAGAATAAAACATAGAAGTGCCTAAACATAAACAAGCAAGAAAATCAACAAAAAATATTGTTGAACAAGGTATATTTAAATCACAAATGTTTATAAATATTAATATCTATCAATACTCCAAAAGGATTCATACAAGTCATATGATAGTCATTTGCGATTGGACTTCCTTGTGTGTATTAGAGATGCTTATCACATGTGATTAAACAATATTTTAGAAATGTTAATAACATATGATTATATACATAAACATCCTAAAATTTGATTTAATAACATGTGATTAGCATCTCTAATACACACAAGAAAATCCGATCACAAATGAATATCTTTTTTTTATAAATATTGTATGCTTTATTTATCATGACTTGTTTTACTCATATGTGATTTTTATTATATAGACAAAAGAAATTCAGTCACATCTGATTAAAATATGTTATGAACACCTTATGCTTTTGTTTTAATCATATATGATTTTATAATTATGTTTGAATTTATACATTTCAGAACAAAACATAGAAGTGCCTAAAGAGAAACAAGTAAGAAAATCACCAAGAAAGACAATTGAAAAAGGTATATTTCAATCACAAATGATTATAAATGCTAATATATATGAATACTCCATAAGGATTCATAAAAGACATATGATACTCACTTGTGATTGGATTCCATTGTGTGTATTAGGTGTTCACATGTTATTAAAATCTGTGAACACCTTATGCTTTTTCTTTAATCATATATGATTTTTATAATTATGTTTGTATTTATATATTTCAGAACAAAATCAAGAAGTGCCTAAAGAGAAAAAATCAAGAAAATCAACAAGAAAAACTGTTGAAAAAGGTATACTTCAATGACAAATGATTATAAATATTAATACTTATTTAATCACATGTGATTAGAATATATATGAAAAATGTATGTTTATTTATCATTACCTGATTTGATTCATATGAACTTTTCTTATTATATTTATATTTATACATCTCAGAGATCACTAAACCAAAAAAAATTACTGAAGAGGAAACAACAGAGAAGACATCTGGAAAGAAAAAAAAAAGGTATAATCTAGTCACAACTTATTAGACAAATTAACATCTTGTGTACATTCAATCACATGTGATTAACATATATTATGAACAATTTGTTTTTATTTATCAAAACTTTGTTCAGTGACATATGATTTTCTATTTATAATAATGTGTGAAACATCATAGAAAAAAGACATTGAACTACATGTGAACATAACACATTATTTTTTAATCAAATGTAATTACCATCTTATATATGAAAAAGACATGATCAATCACATGTGATTAATATCTATCAAATAACAATGTATGTTTTATTATAATAACATTGTTTTATACTTCGTATTTGTATCTATATTTGTATGTCTCAAAAAAATCAAAAGGAAAAGGAAAAAGAATCATTGAAAAACATATTACTTCAATCATATGTGTTGAAGACTATATACTTATTTAATATTGATTTGTTTTCACATGTGATTTTCATTACAACTATCATACCAGTTGAAGAAGAAACCGAGTAAAAAAAGAGAAAATTTGTAGCTTTAAAAAGAGAAAAACAAATTTTTGAGGAAAGTGAAGATTATGACTTCAAAGAAAAAGAAAATAAAGAAAAGAAAGAAGAAGATAGTGAAAAAACATTTTGACACAATCAGAAACATATATATTTTTTGTGATTACCATCTTTAATATATTGTGTTTTAAATCACATATGATTAACATATGTTATGATAAAAAAATGTCTTTACATATACAAAAGACAAAAATCACATGTGATATATTTACTGTATTTTTCAGTTAAATCACATTTGATTTAAAATATCACACATATATAATAACATATGATTCTGATAATCTTATATATACAGAAAACAAAAATCACATGTGATTATATTTCATGTGTTTTTTTAGTTAAATCACATGTGATTTAAATATCACACATACATAATCACATATGATTTCGATAATCTTTTATATATATATATATACAAAACACACAAATCACATGTGCTTTATATTTCCTGTGTTTTTATGGTAAATCACACGTCATTCGAAATATCATATATATATATATATATATATATATATATATATATATATATATATATATATATATATACTAAGTTCATTAATTCTTATAATCACATATGAATTTAAATAATCATTTGTTGTATTTGATTATAGGTGTTCCTCTGGAGCATTGTTGTCTATAATCCAATATTTTAATAATATTCATAAAGACTGTGAAAAAAAGATGGGTTTTGGGGGGCTTTTAAAAATGAAGTTGATAGAGGTGTTGAGGGCATTAAGTTGTTTCATTCTTCAGAAGTTTGATTCCACCACAAAAAACGATAAAACATATGAAGAATGGACAAACCTATTTGAAAACAAGACCATGATTCGTCCACAAGTGATAAAAATGAATATCATTTCCTCAAACAAAGCAGATATGAACTTCAAGATGAATTTTATAGCTTTGTTGATCAACTCTTTGATAGAATCAACCTCTTCAGGAAAAGCAAACACGCACCCGTTGAACTACATAACGAAGAAGAAAAAAATAAACAAAATTGATTGGTGCTCCTATTTGATAGAATGTTTGGTTAAAACCAAACAATCCTTTGATCCATCCAGTGCAACAAACAATTTTAATGGACCATCTGCTTATTTGGTGGTACGTTTAATAACTTCGCTTCTATTTCAGTTTATAATAATCACATTTGATTGAATAGCTATAATCACATGTAATTGAATTGTTATAATCACATGTGATTGAAAAAATAAATTTTTTAGTCACATATGATTTTCATTATATATAACAGATGTTATAACAAGAATAGATATAATCACATGTGATTAAAAAAAGTAAATTTATTTATTCACAAATGATTTTCATTATTTATAACAGATATTAAAATCTAAAATAAATAACTATAATCACATGTGATTAGTAGTGTTTAATACAAATGTTAAAACTAATTATCCTTAAAACCACATATGATTGATCAATTAAAGTTCTATTAAAAAATCGATTGCTATAATCACATGTGATTTAATCACATATTATATAATTGAAAATCATTTCTTCTTTTGCAGTTACTATATGTAGACAGTGTCAAATCTGAGCTTATAAAACTTGAAAGAAAACATCCAGTGATCTACCACTGGAGTACAGAGAAGATGAAGATGAGAGAAAATTATAAGAAGGAAGAGCTAGGGGATTTTGGAACAGGAGAATCAAATGAGGAGTTCATAGAGGAAAAGTTGAATGAGTACGTAAACTTAATTAGTCTCATTATTTAATAATCTTAATATTTAATCATATATGTTAATATATACTTTCATTCATTTGTGATTTAGGATTATATAGAAATGATTATGAAGAAGTTTAAGAAGCTAAAAATGTTAACCGATAATGGAGTCGATAAATTCCCTGAAAATGTAACAATAAATCATTTGAAAAATAGTTTGGAATATATTTTGATGATGACGATGAAGATGGTGAATAGGAAAACGGAAGTGATGATGATGATGATGATGATGATAATGATGATGATGGTGAGGATGATGATGATGATGATGATGATGATGATGAAGGAGGTGAAGGCGATGAGAACATTATAGGAGAGGACAATGAGGAAGAAAATAAGGATAAGTGAAGTGAAGGCGGTGATAACATTACAGGGGGAGAGGAAAATGAAGAAGAAAAGAATAATGAAGGAGGGCAAGATAATGAAGGAGGAGGTAAGCAATATAATATTTTTCTGAATCATATATGATTATTATAAATATCTTTATATAATTACATATGATTAACTACATATTTTATTTATATACAGGTTTTGGTGAAAATGTAGATGAAGGAGATATAGGAGAAGAGAATTTTGCTGGTGAAGAGGATGAAGTAGGTAGTGAGGAAGATGATGTTGCTGGGAAATATAAAAGTGGTGATAATGATAAAGGTGTTGGGAATAATGAAAACTTGGTCTTCATGATGTAGGAGGGAGTAATATTGAATAAAGAGGTAAACAACAATATAAATTAATTTATATTTGTAAATAACAATATAAATTAATAAAATGTATTTGTAAATTCACATATAAATATATATGATTAAATATTTTTTAATCACATATGATTACATATGTTATAATTACATGTGATTATATCCACATATGATTATATATGTTTACATATGTTATAATCACATATTATTATTTTCACATATGATTCTACATGATTACATATGTTATAATCACCTATGATTATTTTATATATAATCACATATGATTATTTTTTGATAATCACATGTTATTATAATCACATATGATTGCATATGTTATACTTGCTTGTGATTAACAATTTCTTTTAATTAAATTCAGGTTTGGAGGGTAAGAATCTGGATGGGAAGAATGCAAATCAAGAAAAAAAAATGTTCAAGAAGAAGGTAAATATAAGTATCACATGTGATTTTTAAATTTACCTATAATTATATATGATTAAATATGTAATAATCACATATGATTCTACATGATTAAATATGTTATAATCACATATGATTATATTTTTTTAAAAAATTTTTAAGTGATTATAATCATATAATCACATGTGATTATAATCACATATGATTGTATATGTTATAATCGCATGTTATTAACAAATTTTTTTAATTATATTCAGGTGGGGATGGTAAGAATCAGGATGGGAAGAATGTTGAAACTGGAGAAGCAAAAAGTAGAGAACAACCACAAAACGTTGAAGGTGGAGGTAAGCAATAATATACATTTATACAATAAAAATGATTATATATGTTATAATCAATTGTGACTACTATGTTATAATCACATGTGATTATATTCACATATCAATATAATATATTTGTACAAGTTACAAATGATTATTAATTTTTTTTTAATATTATTCAGGTGTGGAGAGGAAGAATCTGGAAGGTACGAATGCTTATAAAGAAAAAGGAAAAACTATATATGTACAGTGTTTTGGAGGAGGTAAATATAAGTATATATTTATGAATTATATATGATTATTAAAAGTATATTTATACAATCATATATCACTACTAGAAAATAGCCCTTTAATGACGCACGAACACACACTGATTTACGATACACATTTTTCGCATGCCCTAAAAAATATGTCAGCTTTTCAAAATTTCAAGGATAGAGGACACACATTTATGTGTGCCCTAAAATTAGTGTCCAAAAAAAATACAAACAAGGAGGGCGCTTTTATCTAAAATGTGTGTCCTCTACAAATGTCGCTTTATAATTTTTACTCAAACGCGCGTTTCTTCTCACAAAATCACAGGGATAATTTCTAGGGCTTTTTTGAAGAACACTCAAAACACTCATTTGACTTTTTTCTCTCCCCCTTCGTCTCTCAATTTTGTTCTCTGATATCTCCCTTCCATCCATGCCTCCGTCTCCGTCGTTCATCCACATCCACCGCCTTCAACCCTCAACGCTGGAGCCGACAAAGAAAACGAAGAAATGATGCCCTAACTTCCAGTGACAGGGTTATCTTAGAGCCAGAGTTAGAATTTTCTACCCCTCAAAACCGTCTTAGATATATACGGTTAATATGGAGCGGTTCTTTTTTCTCCTCCTCCTTCGTAGTTCTTCTTCTCCTACGTTCACCATCAAGCACGTGACTTTCCTCTGTTTTGCAGTCGACGAACCCCTCAATAGGGAAGAAAAATCTCAGTGGAAGACTCTACTCTACCTTCTGACCTCCGCCTACCAAAATGGAAAAAGTCCAGTGAAGCTCGATGCTAATCTATAATAATAATTGGAGCATATCAGTTGACTTCATTGTATGCGTATTTCTCAAAATTCCATTTGACCTTTTGATGTGTTCTCATTTGCACTCTATAGGTCTGGCCTCTTTTTTATATGTACGTGTAAGTGTAACTCCATTCGATTTATTCACTTCTAATTTCACTCTGATTAATAACGATTAAGACCTGTACACCTTTGATTCTCAGTTTGGTAATTTGGTTAATAATCTAGGGTTTACGATGTCAATCACATTATTTGTTTCATCTCATCTATTGGTCTATATAATAAACCTAATTTCAGCTGACTTATACTAACTTTGATTTTCCTTTTTATTGGCATCAGGTAAAGTAGGGGGATTCACATTACTATTGACCTTATGGGGTTTCTCAAGTATCAAGGACGTCTTTTCACATGGAGTTCACCCTTTAGCCAAAATTTCTATAGAGAATATTGTGTTGGACCTCAATGATTTTGCTTCAATTGTTCAAGTCTCTCCTTCAGTTCTTGGACCAGGGGAATTGGTGGTTGTCGAGGCCAACAAAATTAATAACCCTAAATATTACACACTAAAATAGTGTATAGTGGTAAAGGGATCGTATCCACAGAGATTGGTTCAATTTAAGTCTCTATGTAAATCACTTGTTCAAGTACTTGTAAAACAAAAGTGAAAGTAAAATGGAGGGGGGGTTAATTCTTTTGGATTGTTTGACAAAATCAAAACTAGCTAGAATGTAAATATGACAAATAGATAAGTAAAAGATTTGATTAAATCCAATGAAGTGGAATTGGTTGATTTTGGGATACACCACATGGATGACATAGTTGACTTATCATTAGACTAAAAGGAACAACACTTGTGAATCGGTTTAACTTGGTTATAGAAATTCATAAGCACAAATTACCTCAACTCTTCTTAGATATTAAAATGGTTAGAGGAGCTCTAACACATTCGCTTAATTAAAGTCACAAAATCAATGAAGCATATAATCTTATGAAAATCAATTAGCTTTGAGTTCTAAGAGTTACCAAGTCCATAAGATAATCAAATGCTTACATTATCATTATGGAGGAAACATTCCCATGGTTTAAATGAAATGAAAACAAACATAGAAACCATTTGTTTCTTACCAATCTCAAAGTCCATTACTTAACCAAGAAATTGATCAACAAAAATATATGTTTATTCTTCTAAGCTCATGATCAAAGATAAACAAACATAAAAAGATGTTTAACTAGAGAACATTTCCATAAACTTCAAACACAAGGTAATAATAGTCTTCAAAACAACCAATCATCCATGGGATTAAACCCTAATCAACCAAATGAGAATTTAGCCAAGCATGGCCAAGATAAAAGAAATACAAGGTAGTTTAGAAATACCAAACATTGTTCTAAGTGCAAGATGGAAAGAAATAACACTAGTCTTCAAAATCTTCAAATCTTCCAAAACCTTATTGGGAGAAAAATTAGTGGTTCCTCCAAGTGTTCATGTGAAGAATGCCTCAAATCTCCAGCAAAAGAGGTGCTTATCCCGGATTCAAAAGTTGCACAAAAGCCATCCACCAACCTTCCCAAAATAGAGTCAAATAGTCAAAACCCGGGTTCACTTCAGCACCATTCACGCGGACCGCGTGGGTCTCGCTGATTGTATGCCTTGGCCCAATTGAAAATACAATCCAGCCCAATCTTCTAATCCATGCTCCAGCCCACATGCACAACTCTTGGGAGCCCAATTGCATTATTGCAAAGCCTCCAATGATGATCCAACACTCCTTCAATCTTTCGGAGCTCGAGTCCTTGTCCAAAGATTAAGTCCAACGCGCTTCTTGCTTATATTGACACCGAGCCCAATTGCACCACCTCAAGTTCACAAGCAATCCACAAGCCTCCAATTGTCCCGTACTCCTTCCATACCTCCAATAACGAATAGTCTTCAGTAAATCCTGCAAAATAAGCTCAAAAGACTGGAAAGCACCCGGTAAAGGAAAAAAATAATAAAAAGAGAAAATATGCATGAAGCTTGACTAAAATGAGATGGTTTTAACTAAAAATAAACTATGAAAAGAAGTAATAAAAACGAAACTATCAGGAATGCATGATTTATATGTTATTTTCAATATGATCTCAGAAAAACCTAACTTTTTTCTTGAAAATATGAAATCTGTAAATAATGTGTTATAGGGGCAAAGTTTTGATTGGGTGAATGTTAACATAAGCAATTTAAATCCATCAGATAATGTTATTTTCACATTCTTTTGCACTGTTTGAAAATTCTATCTTAATCGGCCTTTTGCTCTCTCTTTTAAACTTTTTAATCCATTCCAGTGTATTCATAACTATGTTCTGGTACTTGTGTAGACTGAAAAGTTTGTTTCAGACACAATGGAAGAACAAATAGAGCAGGTAATTTATCGTTCAACAGACGATGATTTTTTTTTCAATCTTATACTTAAAAAGTTATATAAGAAACTGATTTATTTTTAATCATATACTCAAAAATGAAGTAAAGAAACAAATTAATTTATTAAACCCAAATGACCATCTTGCCCTTTTTCATTGCAATATACAGATCATTTTATAGTCACAATTAAAACATATGATACCTTGCAATCATTACACATGTATTCACTAAAACCTTTTGTTTATTGATTATTTGAATGATGACGATATTCTTTAAAAATATATTTTCAATTTCAAGGTATGTGTAGTGGTAAAATTGGTTGTCAATCTATCAGTAATCATAATGTGAAAAACGTTGAATCTAACAAATGTGTTTTTAAAATAAACTTTAAAAATTATAATGAAAGTTATGTGATTACTTTTTAGTTATGTCAATTCCGTGTTTGCTACAAAAAACTTGGATTACAATAAAATAATTGTACTTTGCTTACTATTTTACTTAGATGCAAAAATATTACTAAATGAATCTTTTTAGAAACCACTATGTTATGAAAGATTATATAACACAAATACTAAATAGGAATCATCATCTATAAGAAAGCTTAAGTTATATAATAATAAGATGGCCAATATAACATCAATAATAGTTTGAATACAATCCAAATTTTCAACAACATAACATTAAATGACAACAAATGCATGAGTCATGTATATTGCTTCAAACTCATGAAAACCATTTGCAAAAATATCCCAGAATCTTTAAAAAATGAATGAAATGTGTCAAAAAAATACATAAGTTTGTTAAAAATATATACAAGCTGTCAAAACAATTAAAAGGGGTTGCTTTAAAGCATATTTCGAAATTGGAGGTTGTATTATAAGATTTTTCGAATCTAGGGGCTATTTTATAAGAAATTTTGAAATTAAGGGCTTGTTTTGTAAGAAATTAAAAAAACTGGGGGCTGTTTTTAAAACATTTGAAATTGGGGGCTGCTTTGCATGGAATTTTTAATGCCATGGGCTGTTTTGGAAAAAATTCTGAATGTGAGGGCGATTTTGCACAACGAATACTATAAAGTACAATGTTATAATTGTCCTATCCTACAAACTACAATGTTATTTTGCACAATAAAGCAGAAAGAACAATGCTTTTTTGCACACCATAGCCAAAAGTACAATTCTATTCTTGTTCTATCCTACTTCTGTTCTTCCATTTTCTACAAAAATAGCAACATTTTTTTACTTGTATTTAAACATAAAAAAAAACTCACTCAACATTAAAAACAACGTCATCCAAATCCACAAGCTACCCCAAATAAAGACAAACAAAATTGCAATAAAGCCTAAAAAGTTTTTTAACTAGGAACCATTTCATTAATATAAGACACTAAAAAAATAGTTATTATAATTTAAGTTAATGTATATATACATTTCGAATAGTTCAGCTTCATATTTTTCGTCATGTGGGTCATTATTAGGGGCATTCTTCTTCTGCTTATTCCATCTGTCTACCTAAAGAAATCAATCGAATAAAGTAGATTTTTACTTATTACTCCTTTCATGAGAATTTTGTTGGAAATGGTTAGATTTGGATCTTGGTTGTAATCAATGAAGCCTCTTAATAATGAATTGATACCATGCACAATAATATGATTTAAGATTAATTTTGAGAAACCAGGATATATACATATACCTATAAATAAATACACACGTATTGGTTTATAAGAAAAAAAAGCGCATTACTTTGGTAATATAAATCTTTCCTACTGCAAGGTATTCCAATGCCAAGGAGAAATATGCCAAACATAAAATCTTGTTTTCAAGTATCTACTAAAGCTGACCAAAAATAGCAAAACATAAGATAATAGAATTGGTATGAAAAATCCACAGATAAAAAAAACTTTATCAGAGGAGAACCTCATATGTCACCTAGACCAAATTTTTCAGTCCTCATAATTGGATTAAAGGTGTTTAAAGGTGAGCAACATCAAGAAATACAACTTCCTAGCAACTATGTTTCCCTAACATAAATTCTTCAACAGATGAAGAAAAGAAAAAAAATGATGTTTACAAAGGAAACATCAAAATTGGAGGCAAAATCGCCAACCATTGTTCCATTTGCACATTTCTTGATAACAAAATCGACATACCAGAAAAAAAAAACCCAGAAATAGCATATCTAAAAACCAATAAATAATCTTACTAGGAAAATACCCAACATCAGAATCATCCAGATAAGAAGCCCGATTTTTCACTTCTATTCATAAATTTAATACTTTTTGGGATATATTTGCAGGTTCATTGATTACACTTCAGTAATATACTAGAACAAAATTTCTTTAAGGTTAATCGTGTGATTCCACATAATATGTACCAGGTATTCCTTTATTCAAACCATTATACACATTAAGCTACATAGGCATCACAACAGGAGCATCAGGCATTCTTTTTACTTTTGTTTTTTTACATGATAAGTTTGTGATAACAGAAGCTTGAGTCATTAGGTGACTAAATGCTTATTTCCATTTTCCACCAGTGATGTGATGCAACTTGGTGCTGCTGGGAAGATACACATATGGTTTCAGTCCTCCCTTATTTGTGTAA